CTGCAGACAATTTCTTTAGCAGCCGGGCCCGCGAGAAAAATTGTTAAGAGAAATTTTCCTGACTTTAAGTGACGTTGATGTACGAGCGTAACCGGGAGAACGCCTGCAGGAATGTCAGATTCCTTTATTCCCCGCGAAAAGCATAGAAACCAACACCCCAGCCGGATAGCGCAATCCCGCAATTAAGAGGTGCGAATTGCTAAGTCGCGCGCAATTTCGATACAAAGTATTTTGGAGCGGTCGGTATGACGACGTGGATGATGATTTCCGAATGGAAGCAGACGAAACAGATAGAGGAGAACCACGAGTGCAATTAAATGTTCGTAATTTTACAAGTTCTTAGTTCGTCCGTAATGATATACGAGGCAAGGACGATGAGATATAAATTGTGAGCTTTCTTAACGTACGAATCATTCCTCCTCTAATTGTGCGCTTTAATTAGCCCGGCATCAATCGGAGGTTTCATACGTCGGCGGAGACCGGGGCCTATAATTCGATCGAACCCTCTCCGCGGTGGATAATTAAAAGCATTGTCCGAGTGGTATACACGGACGGAAGGGACAGAATCCGCCGAGGGAAAAAGGACGCTCTCGTTTCGCGTTCAAGTCCGATCGGTAATTACAAGTCGCGAGTATAATTTTAATGAAACGCGACTTACATTGAGGAATGCGCGACGGCCAGCTAATGTGCGCGGTCGGCTCGACAACGGAATTGCAACGGTTGCCGAGCCGCAGTCACGAACTTGCAATTATAAGGCAACGATGAGTTATTAATAAGTTACGTAATGCAATAATAATGATACGTAACGTGCAGATCGCGGTATAGATTCAGTTTAATATTATCTCACCGCCCGGTTTTTATTACCTCCTTGAACACGAAAACAGATTGCTTGAATTAATCTGAAATATGAATACATCAACTAGACTGTTTGGACGATTCATAATTTTTATTAAGTAACAACAAACAGCAGTTTTATTACGTCTGCGTTTTGTTCAAAGAAATTTGAAGATACGCGCAATAATAACAAAATTATATTCGTATTTTTGAATAAAAATTGTATTACTTTTCTTTTTTGTATTTAAAAAACACGACGTTTAGCCGGTGGAATCGATTTTGGGACCTCTGGATCGTAAGTTATCTGCTTTAACTGATAAATATGTATTATATTATATATTGTATGACCAATATATCAAATCGAATGCTTGAGATTCACTCTCGTAAGATATTCAGGAATAATTGTCAACCATTTTCTTAGCCACAAAGTACCGTTTAATGTTTGTTAATAAAGTTGTATCCCGTAATGTATCTACCCGGTGTATCATCCGACATTCGGATGTTATTATTATTGCTATATGCGTTGTAACAAAATTCTGACTGGTATTGCACATAAATGTGGTTGCGTGCCAGAATATTTCATTATCATAACCAGAAATTTCGCAAAAACGTGTTTAACCAAACACGTTCGTTAACGTTGTCAATTCAATTATGTTTGCTCTTTCTGTGAACGATAAAAGTTTAATGTGAAATTTTCAATCGTAAAATGTCATCGAGTGTCGACGAGTGGGTCGAAAAGCGCGTCTCGAGCGAATGAGAATGCGACTTTAAATCTACAGTCGTGTCGCTTGCGTGCGTGACGATTTCGCGACAAGGCGGCGCGAAGTCATCATGTGGACTTTTTATTCGCAGGGGATGAAACGTGTCGTGTACGGCCGAGAGGCGGCAGTGGCGAGTGCTTGTCGGCGGACTCTGAAAAGACGTAGCGCGGGGGTGTTGGCAAATACGTTGGACGCATTCAGATCAGTTTCCGAGGGGAGCCCGCCACGCGGGAAAGACGACGGAGTGGAGTAGAAAAGGTTTTTCGGGGCGCGTCAGCAAGAAACATCAGAGGCCGTGCCATTTCCTCCAGTCGAATACAAATGAAATACGTGCGAATGTACCGCGTGCTTTCGCTTTGTGCCGCGCAGGAATTGATGCGTGAGTCGGGTAACTTCGTTTCGACTTTACTCTTCGTACTTCTACATCCCGCGCGAATAATTAACGAATTCGTCGAACTTCAAACGATTGCTCTCTCTCTCTCCTACTAATTTCATTCGTTATGGCGCGAGATTGCACTCTTCGTGTATAATTTGATATGCCAAGCGTACGTGAATTTTTCATCTTTGAAACGTTAATTTGCTCTTCGTTGGGTCAATTCGTTGGGTTTGTGAGGCCCAGTGACTTTTCCGGTGTGCCCTTAGTTACGTATCTATGAATATCCACAATAAACAGATATTATAGTTAATCGTAAAACTTTAATTGCGAACTATTATTGTTGTTAAAGAAAGTAGAACGTTCTTACGTCATTACTCAAATATACTTCAAGCGATATATATATATATGTATATATTTAGATTTATACGTAGTGTAACTTCTCGAAACACGAGGCATTATAAGTTTAACGATTTTAAGTGATTTTCGGAACCGCTGATAGGTCAGAATAAATATTGATACATGTCAAAGGGAATGTCGCGTGTAAATGACATTCCGGGAGAATCGCGAAACGTGCGCCACGGAGTAATACGCGAGACGGAAAATAGCGGCAATACTCTTGAGTGCCTCGGATGGTGGCCTGGGGGACCTGGGGACCGCGGGATAAGGATTTGCTTTCGGATGGGGAGAGACACTCGTGCGAATGCTACATACGGGAATGCATATGCAGGGAACATAGCCGATTCTAGGTGCGTGTATATCGGGCGCCTACTCGGGGCGCTCGATACGCAATCCAGCCTTTTCTGAAGATTGGATACCATGAGAATGAAATGAGAAGAGAAAGTTCTCTGTATTTTACGTAAACGGTTGACAGAGAGCTTTCCTGTCTATCGTCGCGTCTCCAGGTTGATTTGAACATATGAATTGAAGAAGCCGATGGAGAACTTGTATTTTCATAACACGACTCGGCCAGCAATTTCGAAATTATCTGCACAAAATACATATGTTGTCAAAAACATGTTGTAACACTTTTTTTTAATAAGTTTCGGAACGCATCCCGTGTTCAATAGGAGAATTTAATTTTCACGAGATACATTTTCCTATTGAATATACAAGATGCATTGCGAAACTCATCGAAAAAACTTGTGTTGCAATGTTGTTTTTTATGATTGCATAGAAGACAAGTTTTTCGTTGGGCTTAATATAGTTAAAATTAAGTTTGACTTGTGTTTGTTTAATATGAACAACATAATTTAATATCAAATATCATTTTGAATAAAGATATTGTTTCACTAGAGAATGTTTCACTAGAGATTGTTTCACTAGAGAAACCACGTTGTTTGATAGAAAAAAAAAAAACAGTTGTAACCATTATAATACTTGAATAAAAATACAAAAGAAATATATTATATTTAAGATATGTAATACGTTATACGTAAATATGTTATACGTAAAGATATTTATTGTTTGAGAAAGCAAACAATCCTGTTTGTTGAATTAAACGCTCGTTTGTTTGCTTCACTTTAAAGATAAATTTGTTTCAATGAAAGAAATTTTATTAAATTTAAAGAAATCTTTTTAACCATATACGTTTGAAGATTATTTCAAAAATCACATCGCGAATCAAATTGCATTAGATGTTCACGTCGTACATTGAAACGATCGTTCGTTAGCCGAGTAAATACTAATGTCTCACAAATCTCGCAAGCCTTGCTAAAAATACGGCTCAGTCGTAGCATAACTTTGAAAGGAATAACATTTAAGAATAAAAGTACGGTGTTTCGATACAAACTATGTATATTTTTTCGCGTGAAGAATCTATACCGCAACTACACTTCCACGTGTCTCCGCAAGCCTCCGCAAAACAATGCAGTGTATTTACTCGGAGAGAGGAATTGCTCCGAGACTCCGGTAGCGATCATGATCGCTTATCGAACTTGGAATATCGTCAGGCCGAGGGTGCCGGGCTCGCCTTGACACACTGCTGGTCTTCGAGGGTCCCACAATCCGCCCCCTTCTTAGATCAATAATACCATTCCCGTGGCGACGCATGCGCGCCCGCCAGCATCCCCCGTTACAACCCCTGTACGCGAGCTGGTTTCAACCCCCGTTGAGCCGCGTTCAGGACATCGCGTACCCCTCCATGCAACATTTATAGCGCCATCAATATTATACGCGCGAAATAATAACCTGTGCATTTATTATGACGAGAGTGGGAGGATGTCTTCTAGCAAACGCCACCTTTCCCGTAAGATGATGTAAGAAGAAAAAAAAAAAGAAGAAGGAACGATAAAATATGCGTGTGAACTGTTACGCAGATCGATCGACCGGTGGGGAATGAAGGGTCGCGGCGGAAGACGGATCGGTGCGTGCGACCAGTCTATTGTCCGGTTGGTGAGCAAATTGTTTAATCAACGAGGAAATCAAGAATACGTCGCGATATCGAAGAAAAATATTGTTCTTCATTACGAGCTTCCACGCATATTCCAAGATTATTTTACATCATGAATTTATTACTGTCTATCCTGATAAAAAATTATAGTTGAATTAATCAGAATGTGCTTTGATTAGAGGAAATGTAGTTACAAGCATTATTATGGTTTTTATAAAGGTTATAATAATTCTTATAACTAGAAATTTTATTTGTGCACTTTATCAATGTATGTAAGAGATTACGCATGCAGAAGTTAAATGAGCGACAAAAACAGAGAAGTTGAAATACTTCGTAATTTCCATTCATGAATTCTATTTACACGTAGACCAACAAGTGTCAAGGCGTCGTATAAAAATCGACTGACACTATAAATCAAGTGTACATTACATACATATTAATAAGTGCACGTCCTCGCATTCGTAATGCAGCCAAGTACGCGTGCAACCTTCATATGCAAACGAGTCCACAAGGAAGTATCTCTGTTACGAAACCTCATCTAACGATGCTTATTTCGCAAACAACGAAGCGAAAGATCTCGACTTGAAATTCCGGTTTTCCGACGATCCTTCGTTGACGCTTCAGTAGTCATAGACTCGGTTGAAAAGATCACGCGCAGCTCGGCCGTTCGGAAAAGTCTGTATTAGAACGACTTGAAATCAAAGTGCGGAAAGTATAAACGCTTTGCTCCTCTCAGGAAGTGCTTTGCAACTTTGTCCCTTATCGTAGTGATAATGTCGTGTTGCTTATCGTCCATCAGTCATAAAACATCGGTGTGATTTTATGTGCATGTGTGAGTATATTCACGCTTTGAAATTTAATTTCTAAAAAGAGTCCCGAGCGCAATAAGATAGCGCGTCAATCATATCGTCGCGCGTGGACACTCAAGGAGGAAATTACCGTGGAAATCGACACTGATTAGAAATTCTCGAGATGATGATAAGCGAGATCGCGTGCCCGTGATAAAATCATAGCGAGTCGCGATAACGGAAGTAACAACCGCTTGGAAATTAACTACGTTTCCGGGTATTGATTTTATCATTTGATTTCGACGCCTTTCAGTTGGAACTGTCAATATCGAAGCTGATTAGGGTTACACACAAATATAACCAATTTGCCGCGGATCCACATGACCTCGTGGCGTGCGTGACTGAAATTGTTCTTGCTAAAATTGAAAACGTGTCACGACTTCCGCCGTCATGTCTCGGAGAGTGCCAAAACCTCTGATAACCAAAGAAACTAGAGATTACTTAATGAGGTAATGTTCACCCAAAACACACAAACGAAGAGAATATCATATATGCACGGCAATTAGGTTAAATTGGAAGCCATTATCTTACATTAATGGTTTCATTATCGCCATTTCTTCCTAAATAAGAAATGCAATATGATGTATGAAGCGTATCTCATTTCTTAAAAATTAAATCTATGTGTAAAATCGATCTTTCTTTAGCGAGAACGTTAAAATTCGCCATTACTCTTTCTAATTTCGTAATTTCTAATTTGATATGTAATTATCAATGTATACGATTTTTCACTTGCGTTTAGATATATTACATTGTACTTTATTTACCATTTGTAAATTATAAATTATTGCAAATAATTATTATGCAATTAACGCGTTTATCGATCATAGTTGCAAAAGTAAGTTTGTCTTCCTCTTAGAATACCGCTCTCAGTACTTTCGTATGTCCGTCGTAAGAGCATAATTTATGGAAAATGAACTACTTTTTAAGCACGCACTTCTGGGGCCCGGTATTCAACTGGATGATACCTATAGCGACCATATCCGACACGCGAAAGCATCCGAGAATCATTAGCGGCAAAATGACTTTGGGTGAGTTCGACATAGCTCTGCTGCCGGGCCTTTCGAAGAATTCATTCTCCGACTCATAATAATCACGTATCGCGACAGAGGCGAGCAGTGCGGCTGGGGGGAGGGGGAGGGAGGGAGAGGGATCCATAAAATAATTGCTGCTCGAGCGCAGCAAATAACCGTTTATTTCTTAATGAGCGGCACGCCGCGAATGTCTGAGATGCATACCGACCTAAAACAAGTCTACAAGTAAAATGTTACAGTAAAATGTTACGAGCCACGTTCGAGCGTAACGCCCGCTCCGAAAAGCTTCTCTCGAATCCTCGTGAATCACGTCCTTCTGCGGCAAGGGGAGCCCTAAAACTTATCTTCGGACGATAATGAAATATAAACGAACGAATATAATAGACGACGAGTCTCTCTCTCTTTGAAGAGTGTCGCGTTCGACTTCATCGCTTCATTTACTTTCTCATCGGATTCGCGCATTGATCGCACAGGTTCGACTTAATTCTCTTCCCTTCTGAACAATTTTCAGCCTTGACCCTCTATTCCATGGTATTCATGCGATTCGCTTGGAAGGTACAACCGCGAAATTTGTTGCTGTTGGCGTGCCACATGACTAACGCCGGGGCCCAACTCACGCAAGGTTACAGGTACCTTGACTACCACTATGGCGGGAAGCAGCAACTCGACCAGAAGAAATGGTAGCCATGCGAAAAATACAGCATGCGTACATTTACGCTTTCTTGCAAATATAAAATCCTCTCTCTCTCTCTCTCTCTCTCTCTCTCTACACATATTCGTTTATTGGTCTATCTTTGCTCGGGGAACTTCGTTTTAAGGTAATTGTAGCAGAATAACAACGACTCAATATATAAGTGAAGAAATACTCAAACATTATTATTCTTTCTGTAGTGCGGTGAAAAATTAAGTTTAAGATGGATGCAAAATATTCGAAGCAGATAAAAAAGAATAAGAAAGTTACAGCGTTATCTTGGGAGATTGTTTCTGTTCATCCACACTTTTTATCGCGCGCAAATGTATATAAAAATATATTCTATGCTATCGTTGCTTCTTATCAACTAGTAACGCTCTGGTACTCGCGGCAAGCTTCATCGTTGCCCAACACTTTTATTGCAACAATCTCAGATGCAAACAATAGCGGCAGCAGCATTACGTTTAACTGCGGCAATTATTAAAAAGCGTGCGCGTAAGCGTGTAATGTATTGTAATAATTGCTAATATATTGGAAAGCCGGCTCCTCGGGGTCTGGCGTAATGTACCCTGGCGCAATGTTAACACTGTTGCGTATAACCGAGCGATTCCGCTTATTAAGTTATTCCGTTACTATTCTTCTGGTAATTGTGGCTAACGCGATATTTATGATTCAGCGATTGCTAGAACGAGACCAAGCCGCACACTCCAAGACGTGTGTAGCGCCTTGTTTTTTTGCTAGATTATCTATTTCTCTTCGACGTTAACACGAAGATGATCAGAGATCACGCGGTTTTTCTCACATGAGATATTTACAGCATTTGCGCTTAAGTGATATCGTTCTTTCATTCGTTTCTCCACCCACGAGTTCTCGGTGGTGACTTTCAAATCGAAGAAATTGATCACAATTTTCGATCGCTTTGCTTTATACGCTTCGACATTATTTGCTAATAAATCTTTCTTCCTCCTCTCTCTCGTAGTTCCGTCAATCGTTACTTTTCCGATCGTATCCAAAGGGCACGAGTTTATTCGACTCGGCCCCAATTCGGCAGTACGAACGAATATATAAGGAGAGCAATAATTTTCTGGGGTGGGCGCGCGATAGCGGGCACTCGATCGTGCTAGGGTCATTTTATGGGATCTGGCACGGATCAGGCGCACGAATCTATCCCCGGTATTCCGGTTTTTCCGAATGCTAAGCCGCGCTGTCCTCCTCTTCTCCCTCTGTCCCTCTCAGTTCTGTCCGGGGATATAAAATCCACCCCCGACTAGCTGAATAAATATATATGGCCTTATTAGCCCTGCTTGGCGTCGATCATGCGACACGCCCTGTCGGCGCTCCTTTGCTGATCACTGATGAAAATGTTGCGGGTGACGTCATGCATCCATTTCTTTTCACGGGGCGAATTAATATATTGCCAATGAAAAATCACTTATTAGTAGCAGGCGCTACCGCGCGCGCGGTATTTTAGGCAAGGATGGCTTTCACTAACTTCTGATTAAGCTAGTCAGTCGATGAATTATAATAAAGCATCAATTTTCAATTCTGTAAATTGTCGCTCAAAAATGACTGGAAAAATCATAACTTTTATCGGTGTAGTTAGCAAGATAGAGCAAGTGATGTTTGATTGGCAGCAATTTTCAATAGTCCGGATGTTCAATCGGTCCGAAAGTCATCCCAAGTGCCTCTTACGAAAATATATTTCACATGTACAATTAAAACGCGTAGTACCACTACTTGTCCATCGTAGCCAATTTACGCTAATCGAAGGAGGAAAGAATCGCTCACACACACCGCTCGATAAGACGCGTTTTCCATTCACGTCCTTCGTTCCTGCGGGTTTTGTCGTGCACGCACGGAGACAATCGGGACAGCAGCGACGGGGACGAGGAGCGACGGGACGAGTCCTGCGGGACTGATTTCACAAACAAATGCCGCCGATTGAATCCTGGCATGTCGCAAGATGGATCGCTCTCTTTGAATCACAGATTACCCGCCGCCGCCTACCTTCCACCTCGTCTCGCTCCTTCTCGTACCGCCGCGTCTGCCCTCCTCCGCTTCGTCCTTCCCGCTGATCTCGCCACTTCGTCCTTCGCGGAGGCGCCTCCACCTCCGCGGACGGTTCTCTTCCAGCTCGGCAATTTGCCACATGCCTACGCAGCTGCGACCCTCTCTCGTCCCCTCGTTACTTGACGTTCCGAATCTTGCGTCAACGGCGACCAGATCAACCGGAATCGGTAAGAGGTCGACCAATCAACGAGAGACGACACCTTGTGTCGATTGTGCATGGAGTTCAAGCAGAGGTAAAGTATTCACGTACCATTTTCTTTCCAGACTCGAAAGTTTTGTTGAAATTAAAATTTAAAATTAAAGGTACAATTTTTGGATATAAACTAGCAACATTTCTCTAACAAAATATATGATAGTTTTATGGAAATTATTACATATTTCTCCGCAAATAATAATTTTTTTTATGTACGAGAATTGACGCTTCTAGAAATTTGAGTTCTAGGAACTTAAATTCATCTTCAGATGCAACAACTGAATGAGTAAATAACTGGAATTGAATAACGTTATAAATAACGGTGGAGTAGAGACATTGGGAGAGCAAACAGAGCGTCACTAATTCGATCGAGTTTCCGCCGATCGAAATCGCGCGAGAAACGGCGCCTCGGAAACGCCGAGCACAATCGGAGAGCGTTTCCGTCGACGAGTTCGAAATAATTCGATGAAGAGGAAAAGAGCGCCGCCGCGAGCGAAATGAACTGTAAAGCGGAATGCCTGGATTGTAAAGCCGCCCCCGCAGAACTGCATGAACTGTGGCGGACGAAAGAAAAAAAAGACGAACAGGAAAAGAGGAAGGAGGGAGGGAGAAAGAGAAACGGGGAGAAAGCCGAGGGGAACGACCCTCGCGGCCGAGACTTTTCGACGCTGGACGATCTTTAAATTAAGTGCGTCAGCTTATGACGCCCGTGTAAAGTCTCACAGGGTGGATTTTCGATGCGCGCGCGAGCCGAGCGTAAAGACTTCTGAAATGCGTGGCGAATGCGCGTCGGCGGAGACCCCGAGGGTGAAATGAATCAAGCACACCCTCACCATGCAGGACATACATTAGGCTGACACTGGACTTGCCATTCGGAATGCTGACGATTTCTTATGTCGGGGTTGGTAAGGAATAAGAGTATTTCTGGAAAATCGAGGGAATATTTCGAGCGTACGGAGGGGATCTAGTCATAATCGTTAAGCTTACTTACAATGTTTCTGATTATAGTGTAATAACGTACTTCCTAAGTGAACACGTTTTATACTTAGTAAGGAAAAAGTAGCTTCTCAGATAAAAGTAATTGTATGGGTGTAAACTTGACCTTAATAAATAATCTTGCGATCTCTCTCTCTCTCTCTCTCTCTCTCAATTATTTTTTGTACCTATAGATGAAACTAGAGTGTCAAGAAAAACTTCGATATTTTTTATCGCAATCGCTTTAATACAATGTAAAGCGGAATATCCGGATAACTTCGCGTGGATTCAACTTCAACAAATATATCTTCGCCGACTTTTCACCGAGATCTTCATACTATGATTCTTCCGGAACTACTGAATCGTCTAACTAGATTGTTATCGTACAGTCAGCCACTGCCGAAGCCACGAGACGTAGGCGCTTTCAGGTCTGTTGGACATAGCTACAAAAACGACGAACGGAAAACATCCCGCAGAGTTTAACGCACCAGTCGGTCGCGAGGCGCGCACATTTCTGGTGGATTCATAAAAATGTACTTCGGCCACCCCTGTAAAATAACACTGGAGTTACAGCGCGATCGTAAGCGTGCCATAAGGGCGTGAAAGCGCGCTGCGTTAAAAAATCATGAGGGTGCCATCTTGCGTATCGTCCCTCCAAATTACACNTATATATATATATATATATATATATATATATATATATATATATATATATATATATATATATATATATATATATATATATATATATATATATATATATATATATATATATATATATATATATATATATATATATATATATATATATATATATATATATATATATATATATATATATATATATATATATATATATATATATATATATATATATATATATATATATATATATATATATATATATATATATATATATATATATATATATATATATATATATATATATATATATATATATATATATATATATATATATATATATATATATATATATATATATATATATATATATATATATATATATATATATATATATATATATATATATATATATATATATATATATATATATATATATATACATTCCGAAGAGCACCATATCCACGTCTATGAATATGTGCTCGCGAGAATCGCGCATCATTCCTTGAAATGACAAAGATACGACTGTACACCTCTCTCGCTCCGCGATGGGCGCCATAATTCCACCGAAAATGCAAGTAATTTCGAGAAGTAGGAACGAAATGTTTGGCCGTTTCTCTCGAACACGTTTACGACGAGATGAGAAACGAAAATTCACGGGGAATGACGAACGCAAGAGTGCGAAAGGTTATGGGGTTGGGCCGACTGGTCGGCGCACTACGACGAGATGTTTTCGTTCGAGGGGGTGAGGTCAACGTAGATGGCAACATAATCCCCGATCGAGAAGCCTGGCACACATGGGAACATAGGGGACATCTTATCTTCATATTACACACCCATCGTGGTTCTCAACCTGAACTGTCAGTGTAATGTATCACCACACCTTATAAATACCCCAAAGTTGACGGATACAAATTATTTTTATCAATGATAATAGCACAAAAATCTATTCTTTGTTAAAAATATGAATAAAACTTATCACTTTTTTTTATGACTTACGTTCACTTCAAAAAATGTATTAAAGATAGCTTGATTGAAGAAATTTTCTCTTTTTTCTTTCATAGAATAGCTCCCTGAAATGTATATTTTATTCTCCTCCTCCCTCCGCCCCCCCTTCAAATGTATCGCACAAAATGCATATTTTATCTCATCGATGCTGCATTTTACCTAAATAGCAGCACTTCGCGAAATTAATAAATGCCGCATCGATTCTACGAGCGGATCGCGATCGATGACGAATAACGTATACTCGGATCGCGTTACTTTAAAAATTCGCAAAAAGCAGTAAACAACTCCTGCTTCTCGTGCTCGGCGAGAATCACGCGTGTTACCGGATCCGGAAGTAGACGGACGAGATCGCGCGCGCGAAGGCGTACACACGCATACGCGCACGAACACTCGCATATAGAACGATTTCAGTGACTGAGGATAGTTTATGACCCGTAACCTTCCTTCCCCTCGGCGGCTCCTACCTTCGCGGATCTCCACCCGCTGTATCCCGCGCAACGTGACTCCATCCCCTGTAAACTCGATCCAATATATTAGGGTTAGCTTCAGCGGGAAGAAGCTATCGACGCCGACCTACCGAATCGCCGTCTTCGCCATTTCTACCCGTTGAACTTTCGGACACGCGCGATGCTTTGGGCCTCGGAGATCGATAGAAAAACTAGCAGGTCGCGAAGGACGGTCAGCTGTGGAGGAGATGTGCAAATCACGCGGAAAATGATCGCGTTCTTCGGAGAGAAACGAAGTAATATATTTAAATTTTATTTAATAAACAATCAATTTTTAAGCATACACAATTCTAAGAATTCTATTGTACTTGTTAGGTCTATCTCTTTTAGTTTATGAGATAAAAATGGCTCGCCAGTATGCATTATATTAATATCTGTCGCGTCAACTGTTGTTTTTAATGTCTGCCAGTAAATATGTTATCACATGTTTGTGGCCATAAGGATACATTATATAAGCATTAATCACAGAGGTGTCGTCAGAGCCATTGATAAA